CCCGGACCCGAACTCTCTAGAACCCTCAACACCACAAACACTGAGTCACAAGGACCCCTAACGGAGTAGGGGGAGAGCGGCCTTAATGTCCGTAATAAGGACCTCATAAGGCCTATTTAAGGAAGTATAGTCCCCTACCCCCCTCCCCCTTACCCCCCAAAAGGTCCCGATGACTGAACCCTAAACCCAGAATCATGAATCCAAGGCCCAATTTCGCTTGGTGTACCAAGGCTTCATTTGTGTAACGGTCGCGTCGAAGCCCAAGGAAGAAGTTCCGAGCTCAGTCAGGTTCGGTTGTAGGGTTTGGGGTTTAAGGTTTGGGGTCAGAATTTGGGGTTTAGTTTAGGGACTTCGGGTTTAAGGGTTTGGAGTTTAGCGTTCAGGGTTTGGGACGTAGGGGGCTAGAAACTGTTCAATATCTTAAATCAATGCGGGGTGCTGCAGAACTGGGGTACCTAGTGAACCCTATGAGAAGGATCCTACTAAATAGACAGGTGTGTGTGTGTGTGCCTTGCCCTAAACCCTAAACCCTAAACCCCAGGTCGAGGGTTCAGGGTTCACGGTTTAGGGGTTTGGGGGTTTAGGGTTTAGGTCGTTTGCTCTGGGAGGTTTGTAGGGTTTGCTGGTCTTTCTGCTCCTTTTTTTTATGAGGTGGGTCTGCAATCAAGTCTTTGGGTAGTTCTCCAAATTAGGGTTCCTTTTTAGGATCCTCTTTATAGGGGTGCCGTAGCATGTTGGGGACCTAAACAGGGACCCTACTCTAGAGAACTACCCACATTTGTTGCCTACTATCGGGCTTTGGGTTACAGCGGCTTTCGAAAGCGTTTCTCACCTTTGGAGTTGAAGGCCGAGTATACCGCCGGGCGTAAACCCTGAACCCAAAGCCCTCAACCCTGAAACTAAACCCCTAAATTCTAAACCCTCCCTAAAGTCCTGAACCTAAACACTAAACCCCGAGCCCTAAACCCTAAACCCTTAAACCCTAAAAGCCCTGGGGCTTAGGGTATGAGTAAGTTCGGCTTGGGATATAAGTAAGCTTATAGGGTTCAGGGTTTGTTCAAATTTGAGGGTTTAGGGTTTAATGCCTAGGGTTGCGGGGGCTTTGGGGTTACGGTTTAGGGCTACTTTTCAGTCCCCTACACCCTAAACCCAACTCGAAGCTGCAATCCTGAGGAGACGAGGGGCGCAGCCACACCAAAGGCCGGCGAGCCACCCCCTCATATAGGGGCCTAAGTATATTACCTATACTATTGTGTGGGCTCCTTATCAAAATTATAGTATAGTGGGCCCCAAAAAACCCTATTCTAATTATTCTAATTATTTATTCAGGCCCCTATATTAATCCGGCTCTTCCTCGCTCTCGCCCTGGGCAAGCGCAGACAGCGCAGGCGGTTCCTGCGGCAGAGATGGCGAGCTGACGGTATGCGAAGACGTACCATTGGCGAATTGGAGGCCAGAGCGCTGTGACGGCCTTTTTGCCGAGATCGAACAAAACATGACGGCACGGCGTGCCAGCATCCTGGGCAAAATGACGGAGGTCGAAGTTGTGCTACGCAGAGGTCCCACTTATGTCCATGACTATGGAGCTGTGGACTACAACGAATGTTTGCAGGGGTGTGATGTCATATATCACCTTTATTCTCCACTCTTCTTTAAACTAGCATCACCATGAGACGGCACACAACGTGGATGCCTGATCGCTTGGATATAAGAGTTTAAATAGTTCATGAGCATGAGGTTTTGGTGTATACGATATACAGTGTACTTGTATGATTGAACCTCGAGGGAACAAGGAAGAGTTTTCTTGGCGTTCTTCTGGTTAGCTCTTAGGACTTTGACTTTTTGGATTTCTATATGAACTATTACTAAGGGTGCTAAAAGTTTAACTTTCAGGAGGGGTTCAGAAGTCAGCCAAGTTTTCGTTGCTTCAGAAGAAGAGGGTTTATGAATCAGGGGCCTACCTTACTAAAGACTTCACCCCAAAGACCCTAAACCCTAAACCCTAAGGCTGCAGAGGTTGAGTTTAGGCGCTCTGGGCCCTCTAGGGATGGGGGCTTGGAGCTCACAGTTTGAGGCGTCAAGGTTCTCAGAGACTCCAAGATTAAGGAATATTCCTTAAATCATATTGAGGCTCCTACTATAATTTAAGGAATATTCCTTGATTAAAAGGAATATTGGAGTCTCTGTATTTCGGGCTTTGCGTTTTTGGGGTTTAGCTTAGGGGCTAAATCCTAAACCTTGCAAGGCCTAAGCTCCCTCATGTAGGGGCCTTGATAATTTGATTAGGGTTTTGGGGGGTTCCTTATTATAGTCATAGTATAATATACCACGGTTTAGGGTTTAGGGTTTAGGGGTATAATATACCCCAAATTCAGCACTTTTTCTTTTTGGGCTCCCTTAAAAGGCCAAATAGTATGAAAAACGGTACCCTTATTATGTAGGGGCTACTGGGGAACCTAGACTACAGAAGCCTAAGTCGTTGGCAACATTCATCTTCGTGCTCCTTATTATAGTTATAGTACAAAATACTGCCAAACCCCATTCCAAGTATTAAGGCCCCTACATTACCCCAGAATCTCGGTCGAGTATAGTGCATACTTTTCCTGTTCAAGGCTTCGTGGTTCGGGATTCGAAGCTCCATGCAAAGGCCAGTGGCGATGAAGAGCTGCAGGAATCTTCATGAGAAGGTGTGCTTTTGTCTCACAACTGCTGAGCTCTGATGTACTGCATGGCATGGCATTCTTTTGGTTTGCCGTAGTAGCTGCAACAGCAGCCGAAGCTGAACCCGCCGGTATTACATTCGTGAAACAATCTTATCATCCAATGGCGCGTATAGCCCTCAAGGCCCTAAACCCTAAACCCGAGCTCCTTGTTCGCCAACCCGAAGCACGAAACCCCAAGCCAAGAACGGGAGCAAGGGGTTTCGGGTCTAGAGTATGGGGTTTAGAAGTTTATGGATTTGGGTTTAGGATATAGGAATCAAAACGTCATGGCTTTTGCATGTTTTGGGCACTTCAGAACCGGGATCTGGGCAAATTCCGAAGTGAAGTACCCTTTCGTCTTCAGTTCTGCGGGCAACGGTTATGGTTTGAGGGTCCGGGCGTAGGGTGTAAGTTTAAGGATTTGGAGTCTAGGGCTTAGGGAGTAAGTTTGAGGGTTCGGAGTTAGGGTCTTGGGCCTACAGCAATGATGGTGGTTTTCGTCGTTGCGTTGGCAGCTGTGACCGTAGATTTGAAGAGCGGAAGAAGCATAAACAAATCAGAGCCGCCGCTTTGCAATGGCGCCAGTTTCTACATGAAACTGCCCACAACCAGCGACGACTGTCGCACAGCACAGCTTGGCAGCCCCTGCTCCAAATCCTACTGCTGATCGACCAGAAGTGCTTGTTGTAGAAGCATGAAAAGTTGAATCACCAATACTATTCTTTAAGGGTTCCTTCGTATAGCGATACAACAACATGCTTCAAAACCCTAAACCCTAAACCCCTAAACCCTAAACCCTAAGGGCAAGACGACGTCGGTCACGAATGAGTGTGAGGCTAATGTTACTTCAAGGGCCATGAAACTTGGCCAGACCAGCCTGCCCGAAAGGGCTTGAGACGCGTAAGCAGTCATCAAAAGGGCCCTCAAAAAAAAAAACTCTAAACCCTAAACCCTAAACCCTAAACCCTAAACCCTAAACCCTCAAGATCCTAATGCTGCCATGGGGGTCCCCGACCTGCAGACCTCAGAACCACTTTGCTGTCGGCCTTCTGTCGCTGCCGCGCGCAAGTGCGGCAGTCCGGATTTCCATGTAGCCGTCTGAAGTAAAGCTTGGCGGCGCCAAAACGGCTCACCACTCTAAACCCCTAAACCCCCAAACTTCTAACCCTAAACCCTATAACCCCTAAACCCTAAACCCCTAAACCCCTAAATCCCTAAACCCCTAAACCCCTAAACCAAAAGCCGACGGCCTAGTGACTTGAAGGTTCCCTTTTGTGGTCTTGCTTCTCTCGGGGGCCCCAAGGGATGAGTTGTTTCGCTTTTTAGGGTTTAGGGATTAGGGTTTAGGGTTTAGGGAAAGCTTAGGGGTTTAGGGGTTTAGGGCTTCGGGTCCAGATTTCGGAGCAAAAGCTTCGAGTCCTGGGGTTTGTCGTTGATGGCTTCTGTGTTCTGTCCTGTACGCTTTCTTGCTATGCCTACACCTGGAGGTTCAGGGTATGTATGATAGTAAGTAGTTCTCTAAACCAGGGTCCCTGTTTGGGGTCCTTTTGGATAAGGGTGCCGTGTTATGATGATGATCGTGATCATAATCATGATGATGATGATGATGATTGTGATGATGATGATGATGATGATGATGATGATGGCAATGATGATTGTGATGGTGATGCTGATGGTGATGGTGAGGGTGATGATGATGATGATGATGATGACGTTAATGGGGATGACTATTGTTATTAATTATGATGAATAGCACCTATTATCATGATGATTATTGCTTGGTGTTCTTCTGGTTGGCTCTTAGGATTTTAATTTTCTGGGTTTCTATATGAACCATAATAAGGAGACTAAAAGTTTAACTTTTTGGAGGGTTCAGAAGTCAGCCAAGATTGTTTGGGTGTCACCGTAAAACCTTCTAGTTTCTGAGAAACCTGACTCGCCGACGCTCCCTCGCCCGTCATGAAGCGCACGCCCAGAGCGGTTTTGTGTTCGGGGTTTCTGGTTTAGGGTTTTGGGATTTAGGGCTTAGGGTTTTGAGGCTTGAGGCTTTGGTGGAGAAGGCTTGGGAGTTTAGAGCTCAGAGCTTATGGGCCTTAGAGTTCGGCGTTGAGGTTCCCTAAACCCCAAACCCCAAAAACCCAAAACCCGAAGACAAAAATACTAAGGTTCAGCGTTCAAGCCGAAACGCCAAACCCTAAACCCTAAACCCTAAACCTTAAACCTTAACCGTGGCTCTGGCCTAAGACCAAGCCTCAGGTTCAGGGTTCAGAGTCCAAGCTGGAGCCGGGATCCTCGCAGGCATCCGCTCAGGACGTCGAGGAGGTGCTCGTGAAGTTGGTGAGGCTCCTCTCCTGGGGTGCGTGTTGTCCTTTTTTGTTTTAGGGGTTTAGGGGTTTGGGGTTTAGGGTTTAGGGTTTGTGGAGGGTTGGTGGGTGCTTGTCCTTAGGGGCACGTCTAACTAATTCTTGGTTTTTTGCTTACTATACTCCCGAACAGGCAGCTAAAAGTGCGATTTTTGCCCGGGTCCCAAGTTTAGTAGTGTAGGGCTTCGGGTTTAGGGTTTAGGTATACTGTTGTCTCTCTTTGTTTGTGGAGGCGCGGCTTCTAGGGATAAGCTCCTTCAGGATTTTGCTCGAGCCAACGAAGCCATAAGACCGTACAGCCAGATCCTAAGCACCTAGACCCAGTTAGGGTTTAGGGTTTATAGTCCCTTTACTACAACTATCATACCTCCCCTCAGAGTGTTTCTAATCATGAAGACTACAAGTGGCGAACCCCGTGTTGGAGGCTCGTCGCGAACCCTAAGCCCTAAATTTCTGAACCCTGAAGCCTAAATTGCTAAACCCTAAACCCTAAATTACTAA